GCTTTAGACCACTGAGCCATCTCTCCAGCCCTCCTTTATGTTTTAATGCATCCAGAGCTTCATGCAAACTGTCACTGAGCCATGTCCCTAGCATCGTCTACCACCACTCTATTAGTTTTTCCATGTTTAAGATATGGAAATAACAACCTTTCTCAAGCAGCCATGGAGGATTTTTTTTTTTTTTTTTTTTAATGTATTTGGTATAGCATCTCACTATGCAGCTTGGACTCATAATGATCCTGTTTCCAGCCTCCCCAGCACTGGGATTAAGACATGCGCCACCACACCAGATCTTGGTCGCTGGCTCAGTGTGCCTAGAGGCGGGGCCAGCGCAGCATGTAGTGCCAGGGATTGAATCCCAGTCCCTGTGCTTGCCTAAGCAGGTGCTTAGACCACTGAGCTATCTCACCAGCCCTAGCCATGGAGGATTAAAAGAGATAGTGTACTAAAAGTGCTTGGTACTCTGCCCTCATTAGGCCCACTAGAGCTGAGGCTAGTTTGTACCTTGCCTGTGCAACATGTATCACTTCATCAAATTCTTACAACAGGGCTGGGGAGATGGCTCAGTGGAATAAGCGCTTCCCTGGCAAGCACCAAGGACCTGAGTTCAATCCCCAGTTCCACCAAAAAAAAAAAAAAAAAAAATTCTTACAACAGACACACAAGAGAGGGATTGGCAGAGACTGGGCGTGGTGGTGTGTGCTCATAATCCCAGCACTTGAGAGGCTGAAAACAGGAGAATCACTACGAGTCTGATCTATGCAGTGAGACCCTGTAGACTCTTAAATACATAAAAAAAAAAAAAGGATTGGTGAGGAACTCGAGTCCAGAAAGTTAAAGAGAGCCCAATTATAAGGCAATCACGCGACAGAGCTCAGGTCCTGATTCTGGACCTTTGGATTTGGTTGTCTGGGGCCCAAAAGAGGCAGAGCATGTGAGAACGCTGGGCTCAGAATGTGGTTTTAGGAAGTGCAGTATGTAGGGAAGACAAGACAATGAACAAGGTGAGGACAGGGTGGAAGCTGGGGACGGCTGAGCATCTCTGGGGACTCCCTGGCTACCTGGAGTTAGGCTTCAGCCTACAGCCTGCCCGCAGGGCTCCCAGGCAGTACCTGTGCAGAAGGCTTCTTGTCCGTCTTCCCCAGGGAGCGTGTTCCTCTTTTCTTCAAGGAATGCTGGAGGGGGAAAAAATAGAAACAACAGTTCCCAAGGGTGATACACATCCAAAGAACAGTCACAAGGCCTGGGGGGATGTTAAAGGCCCCAGCCCAGCTGTGTCCAGGCCTTGACCTACACCCACTGCTGAGCCAGAGGGGCCTGGAGACCACCTGGTGGGCAGCAAAGAGGGATAGCGCAAACTCAAGATGACTCTGAACATGCCTGTTCAGGGCTCCCCGCCTCCTGCCAGCCCCACAGATGACTCAGTTGGCCTGGACCAAGACTTCAAACTCTGGGTTTCTCTCTTTATCTTTCATCCATTCATCAGATTTTCCTGAGCACTCGTCAAGTGCAAGCCAGTACTGTGTGCACACGTACTGTGTGTCAGGCACAGTTGAATATAAAGGACACAGCAGTGAATAAGATGGGAAAGGTACCTAGGAAGATGTGGCTGCCACTCTTCATCTGAGATACTCATTTCCCCAGATAAAACCTCAAACTGAGGCCCCCGGTCAGTGATGCCCACTGGCTGAGGGGAGTATCCTGTCCAAGTCATGTGCCCTTCCTGGCTGGACTCCATGAATCCTGGTTCATGCTCCCTTACCTCACTCCTAAAGGCCACCCTCACTCCAGAGCTTCCCATGGAACCAGTCAGAGCCATTGGTGTGACTCAACTTATCATGCTACCTGAGTCCTAGATGAGGACAGTCACCTAGGGAAGACAACACTTTCTTAGACCTCCAAGGGACTCCTGTTCTCATGCAGCTGACGCCTTGGTAGAACTTGAATTCAAAACAAATACTAATAAATAGGGGCCGGGGTGATGGCTCGGTGGAATAAATGCTTCCCTGGCAAGCGCAAGGGTCTGAGTTCAATCCCTGGTTCCACCAAAAAACAAAACAAAACAAAAAAACCCTAATAAATGAAATGGACATAGGTATAAAAATTACACACCAGACTTAGAAATCATCATGACAGACTGATAACAAACAAGATTTAAAATCCTGAAGACTGTCAGGGGGACAGCTCAGCAGTCTAAGCGCCTGCCTGGCAAGTGCCAGGACCTGGGTTTGATCCCCAGTGCCATACGCTGTACCAGCCCTAGAACCATGGGCGCACCCAACTGCCCACCAAAATCGGACATGGTGGCACATGTCTGTAATCCCAGTGCTGGGGAGGCTGAGACTACAAGTCTGAGCTATGTAGTGAGATCCTGTACCAAATAAATAAATAAAAGATTTTTAAAAAAATTTTTTAAAAAGGGGCTGGGGAGACGGCTCATTAGAATAAGCGTTTCCCTGGCAAGCACAAGGGCCTGAGTTCAATCCCCGGTTCCCCTAAAACAAAACAAACAAACAAACAAAAAATTTTAAAAAAAATTTTAAAAATCCTGAAGACTTAGGGGGTGAAATGGATACATTTAATTACACAGGCAAATGGCACATAAAAAAAACCCTAAGAAAAGTAAAAACATAAATAACTGGGCTGATGTCCTACCTATGTAAAGAACTCCACAAACAGACTTAACAGAACAACAAACCTGTAGGAAAATGGGCTAGAGATACAAAAAAGAATTCTCAGAAAAAATCATAAGATGCTCAGCTTCGCGCACGATGGAGAAATGCACATTAAAAACTACACTAACCTGGCAAGTACAAGGGCCTGAGTGCAATCCCTGGTTCTACCAAAAATAAATAAATAAATAAGCCAAACAAAAACAAAATGGAAACGCTACACTAAGGTACCTTTTCTCCTGTTCCAAAATAACAATAATCCAAACCCACCCGACAATATATCAGCTGGTGAAGTTCTGGCGAAAGAAGAAAGCTTATTTATTGTTAGCCAGGGCACCAAATGTCTCAAGCCTAAGGAAGGGAATTTGAGGAAATGCTACAATAATCATTACTGAAGTTTTTTTGTTTAAAAAGTCACTCAATTAGATTTGTGATTCCACTGAACACTTCCTCCCACGAGAGCACTGACTCACACTGCCTATGAATGAAACCACTCTTGGGCTGCTTTTGATTTTCCAAGTTGGGCTGGCAGGATGGATTTTTGGATTTCTGAAATTCTTTTTTTTTTTTTGCGGAACCAGGGATTGAACTCAGGCCCTTGGCTTGCCAGGGAAGCGCTTATTCCACTGAACCATTTCCCCAACCCTAAAAGATACTTTCATTTCTTTTTTCTTTCCCAGGTAATTCTAAAATGCAAATTGTACCAAGGAGAGGAGCTCCAGATAAAACACTTAGTCTTTCCTCCAGCCCAACCAGATCCTAGAGACCTTTTGGGATGCAAATAAGGAAGGAAGGCAAAGACTGATACTTCAGAAGCAGCCAGGTACCAAGAGCAGAGAGCCAGCATTTGAGATGAGCTGGCCTGGGACGTTTTAAAAAAGGGGAAGAAAGGGGAGAAGAGGTGGGAGTCACAAAAGAAATCTTTCAACAAAAGCTGGGGATACAGGGATGTAGGGGGTGGGCGGGGGTGGGGCTCCAGGCCCTCCGGATCACAGCCTGATACCCACATTGGAGGAATGCAAATTAAATCAATGCTGATATTCCATCTTACTCCACAAAGAATGGCTATCCTCAAGGAAACAACTAGCAGCAAGTGCTGGAGGGGCTGTGGGGGAGTTGGTGGGAGCGTAGGAGGGTACAACCACGTGGAGAGCAGTGTGAAGATTGCTCAACAAGACCGACCTAGAGGTTCTACCTGCCCCAGATATTCCCCTTCTTGGTATCTTCCTGAAAGAAGTAAAAGCCTCATACCACAGTGATACATGCAGACCCAAGTTTACAGCAGCAGTTTATAACAGCTAAATCTTAGAAACAGCCCAAATGCCATCAACTAATGAATGGATAAAGAAGATGTGGATTTTTAAAAATGTAATGGTGTGCTACTATAACGAATGATACACTAAAGCCATTTCTAGCTACATATATGCACCTTTAGGGCATATTCTTAAGTGAAATAAATCGTACACAAATGTGTAAATACTTTGTTGTTTCTCAGATGTGAGAAACTGAAAGTGTAAATAAGGACCAAATGCATAGTAGATACTGTGAAATAGAACATGCTCAAATGGTAAAGAGAACTAGGAAGGGGAGGGGAATAGAAGGAAGGGGAAAAAATAATGAGAAAAGAAAAAAAAATGGAAACACAGCTTTTATAAATAAGCAGGGAAAGAAGGGCTGAAGGAAGGGGAGGGGAATGGGGGAAAAAGACCCAAGTTGTAGGGGCTGGGGAGATAGCTCAGTAGAATAAGCACTTGCCTGGCAAGGGCAAGGGCCTGAGTTCAATCCCCCGTTCCACGAAAAAAAAAAAAAAAGAACCAAGTTATATCATGTCTAGGTACAAATTCCCTATGATGCATGTGATCATTATGTATATCTAAAATGTACCAATAAATTTAGTTAATTGAAAAAAAAAAAAAAAAAAAAAAAAACAACCCTGAGACCCACGCACTACATCTCCAGGGATCTTTCCTCTTCCTGAAATCTCATTTTCTCATCTATAATATTGAGTCATGGGTTAGGTGAACAAAAACCTCTTACACTATTCAGTTTCTTGAAGGAAGTAACTCAAGCTAAGCCAGGGGTCTCCAAAGGCACGGAGCAGCATCACACACAGACCAGCGAGGTCAATGACAGCAATGACAGAAAACTGGAAGTGGTAAGAGGAGCCTACGTGTGAGGTCTCCGTGACTCCCGGTAAGAAGTAACCTGCAAAGCAAAACCTACAACCCAAGTAGGTCCTCCAACGGAGGAAGAGATAAACAAAGTGAGTGAGGTCTCTCCACACAACCGGAATTTGTTCAACCATAGCCGGGCATGGTGGCGCTTGCCCGTAATCCCAGCACTCAGGAGGCTGAAACAGGAGGATCATTGTGAGTTTGAGGCCCGGCTGGGTACAAAGTAAGTTCAAAGCCAGCCTGAACTGCACTGCAAAATCCTGTTTCGAGAAAAGAAAATTGTTTAACCATGAAAGGAATTTATTACTGACACATGCTACGACGTGGCACATGGAGAACACCGTGCAAAAAGAACAAAGCTGGGCACACGTCACACGGCTCACTTGTGCAAACTGTCCAGATGAGACAAATCCACCAGGCACAGAGTAAAGTAATGACAGCAAGAGCTGAGGAAGAGCAGAATGGGAAGTGACTGTTAACGGGGAGAGGTTTCTTTTAGGATTGACAAAAATATCCTGGGATGAGACGGTGGTGCTGGTTGCACAACTCTTTTTTTTTTTTTTTTTTTTTTTTTTTTTTTTTTTTTTTTTTTTTTTTTTTTTTTTTTTGTTGTTGTTGTTCAGGGTCTCACTATCTAGCCCACATCAGTAGTGATCCTCCTGATTTTTTGCCTCCCAAATTGCTGGGATTACAGGCGCGTGCCACCGCGCCCGGACTCCATCGCTGGCTCAGCGCACCCAGAGGTGGGGCCAGCGCGGCACACGGAAACAGGGATCGAACCCTGGCCCCTACGCTTACCGAAGCAAGCTGCACAACTCTTTGAATACACTAAAAACTATAAAACTGTGCACTTTAAAAAGATTAACTCGGAAAAAAAAAGATAGACTTGGGCCGGAGGTGTGGTATAGCACTTACCGAGCATGTGGTATATAGCACAGGCCTACAACTGTAAAAAAAAAAACAAACAAACAAAACTGTATAAACTTCATGGGCTGTGAATTACATCTCAATAATTGTTACTAAAAATAAACCTGAAGGCTTATTGCAGAAACACATTCGTGTTTCCGTGTAAGGATTAGCACGCAGGTGGGATAAGGCGGCACTGTGAGGACACAGGGCACTTGCACGTTCCCCTTCCACCTTGTGTATTTATTTTGTTTTATTTTTAACTTTTGAGAGGAAGATGGGCAACATAGTCTTCCAGAATTTTTCCTTTAGAATTGTTTTCATTGATTTTGTATGTGTGTGTGGTGTTGGGATTGAACCTAGAACCTTCAAGTTGAGCTACATTCCCACTTTTTTTGTTTTTGGTTTTTTTTTTTTTTAGAC